CTAACACACACTACTACAGGCTGCAAACCAAAGATAATGAACTATTTAAAGAGGAACTCTGTACCTACAGCAATAACTGAAAAATTTAGCAGAAAATCTTTAAAATGGACTAGTATCTTTTGCGCATTGAGAAGAATTAACTTCTTTTTAGGGAAAATTATAAACCAAGAGAGAGTTCAGCCTTTCTTTAAGACAGAAATTTAGAAAAGCATATACAAGAATGGTATTACAAAGATTTCTGCAGTGAGGGTACGTACCTTTTCTGACACTCTGGATTTGTCTACATTTAAAAATGGCTTGTTGATAGAGCAAAGCAGCTGGTGGAGAGCACATTTACCTACCTAGTGGAGAATCACCTTTTACATGCAAGAGTTCTTTCAGTGGTATAATTTAAACCAGTTTTCTGCTATACCTGCAAAAGGGTCTTTTTGCTACTAAAATTCCATCTCAAGGTTTTTTTTGTTGAGTGGAGTGTAATTTTTCTCACTCTTGATTAATATAATTATGTTAATAAGAATTGCAAATGCACACCAAGCCTGTAACAATATCGCACTCACTTGAAACAAAGTTTAATGCACTAGGAAACGCATGTAAAATTGTAAGATACTGCAGCAGTTTGTCAAAGGTCATACCCTTCTGGACAAAACCATGCAAGAAATGAAATTACTGCAAAGGCTTCAAGACTATCAAGCATTCCATACACTCCAAAAAGGGTTTGCAGGTAATAGAAACAGAAGTAGGGCTAGACAGTAGAAGTCAGGAAAGAATCAGATTCTACTGTCTGCTGCTCTCCCACAACCTCTGTTTAGACTTTTATTCTGTTACTACTACTGCAGATTCTACTCTTGACCTACTTCTCATCTATCATTCTTACCCATTTCTTAGGCTCCTAGCCATTACTGAATCCCATGTACACATCACATTTCCTTCCAAGAGCAGACACTTCTAAAGAGTTTTTGCTCTCTGTCCTACTGCCTGGGGTGGTTGGGGAGGAGGGGGGAGGAGGAGGCAATGCAGAAAAGGCAAGAGAGAATGAGTCCAGAGTAATGGAAGAAAAACTGTATATTTGCTACTCAAATGTAATTAACATGTATTTGGCCTCTTTTAAAAATCTGAAAAAATGTATGGATAGTACTAAAACCAGTGACTTTTAGAAGTTGTGGGTAAAAATATTATCATCCAGGTTTAGAAGATGGTAATGCTGAAGGCCTTGGGCAAAGCAAGCATTAACATGTGCTTCAGAAAACCCTAATGTATGGAGAAAAAGAAAAGGAACTTCCAGAATTTTACAGGAAGCTAAACACCTATGGATTTCATATCAGACAAAATTTTTAGAAGTACTACTAGTTTACTGATAAGGGCACAGCTTTTTTTTTAAGATGATGTAAGATTTTTTACAATATATTCTCACTATGAACATGTTTAGCTTGCTATTCATAAGATACACATGTAAATATAAAATACAGTCCTCTGTTCTGTAAAATGCAACATGAAATCAGAAAATTTGTCATGTTCTTTAGTACAGCTATCAGTCACTTAAAAATCTTGAAACTAAAATCATTTCTAAACACTGCAAGTTAACAGTCAAGAAGAAGCCTTAATCATGAGTCCTATATAAGGTAAGTGTTTTCTTCCCTATGGATATTAACATCAGAGGCAATTCTTTCAAAAATCTATACAGAAAGCTATATTCATTACACTGCTTGGTGGGACTACAAGCTTTCCTTCCTGTAAAAGTCAGATTTGCTTATGGTAAGTAACCTCATACTCTGTTTGCTGACATACTAGTCTTGGAATCTGAAACAGCTGATGGCATCACAAGAACCAAAACATTTGTAACTTTGTATCACGACAAGCTCAAAACTACATAGCTCAATTTTGATTGTGCTATATGGAATGTGGGTTGTTTAAATCATAGGAAGACATACTTGTTGTACTACCCTTTTGAGCTTGATACTGTAGACCTCCAAATATAATATCCCTGAATTATGCCTGAATTTTAAAGACATTTTCAAACCACACTATTTAAATGGCATGCAAAAGAGAACTTCAAACTCTTACCCATTCTTTTGCTGCAAGTGCTAGTTATTTTGGGGGAATCCACTGCCCAGGCTGGGTTGCTAGTTGGGTCAGAGTACTGAAAACTCATCAGATCTCATCACTGACTACGATTCATGTAGGGTGTACAGCAAAAACTGACTCAGGTTAATACAGCTTCAAGTAGAGGGCATTTTAAGAAGTTAAGGAAAGGCAAATGTGTGGGAATATTATGATAGACGATCATCACTGTAACTAAAATCTTTCACTTTAAGACAAGGATTCTTGTTAATTGTTGGTAAAACCTAGAAAATGTTATGCTATGGAACTCATAGTGAAGAAATATAATCCCAGCCTTTATGCCTGAAAAATTATCTTTCAGGATGTCAAATGTGAAGGAGATAGACATATCTAAGTCTCCTGAGGCAAAGCTGCAGAAAAATCAGATCTATATGCTTGAAGCTGCCATTGAACATATGGGTGCCAGATTCAACAGGCTATAGCAATCATCACTGTTCGATTCAATTTTTTGACTCAATGCAGCAGGCTAATGATAAAGAATTTGCTCATTATGGCAACATACAAATAGACAGTTTGCCAGACCGCTTTACAGAATTTTTTCAGGAAGAGGAAAAAGAATGCTCTGTTTCAATGGTTGTCTCTAAACTGACATTTAAAACCACCAGATCAATAACAAATGACAGCACACATGCACATTTAACAAAGCTTTTAACTATCAAGTAACCTGCCTTTTGTGATATATTGCTCTGGGTTCAAATACTGTTCCCATTGCCCTATAGCAATGGAGTAGTAAAACACGGATTTTCCACAGTAAGCTTAATCAAAAAGGACTATTTCCATAAGTATATATATGAAGCAAGGCATATTTCAAAGTCTTAATCCAAAGTCTTGTGAAGACTGAGTGGCCCCAAGTGCTTATTTTTACCAACCCTGTTACCTTATTCTCTAGTGACAAAAGAAGATCAAGAATAAAATGTATTTATATACATAGTCACAGCAATCACTCAGCAGAAGCAGAAGGCAGCACTAGTAAAGGATTAGACTACCATCATTCTGTATGATACGATCTAGATTTCTAACCAGATGGACGTTATCCATTATTCAGGTATTACAATTCTTATTTGAATTTGAAATTAATTACAACATTGTTTCCCTTCTGACTCATGGGCCCAGACTGGTAGCACTAGCAGTGTTTTAATTCACAAAAGAAACAGCAACACTAACCATCTTCTGAGAACAAGAGAAAACTGAAAATTCCTGGAGTATATTAATACCAAAGAGAAACAGAATGCACAGAAATTCTAGATAATCACCACATTTGTAGTTACCTGAAACAAAATCTTAACATGAGAAATAAAACAACTGTATTACAGTGTCATAGGCATCTCATCAATTGACCAAGAACATTGTCTCAAACTTTTGGTAATAAGATCTAATGTCCAGTATGTATAATATTGTGGTCTACTGTTAGGAATAAATTAAATTTATTGCATATTTTGGAAAGCCTCTAATTCAACTAATTCCCAGTCTGGATTCAGAACATCTGGAATCCTCTGCTTCTGTTTTGGAAGAATATCACGTGCAGAAGTCTAGACTGGCTGAGCAAATTGATAATCCATATTGTGATAAATAATGGAGCCACCCTGAGTTTTGGCAGTTTGGTCATCCCATGCTTAATGTATTTTCCTGGACTGATATAATCAATTGTACAACTTTCAACATATCCCTCTTTAAATATTTAAGATATTTTGGTAAGGGTAGGGTAGAAAAATTGAAGATTTGGGAAAGGCATGTTTCCCATACACCTGTGTTTGAATTCCACTCAATTTAAGGGAAGAATGCTCAATTCAAAATTAAGCAGAGTAGTTAAAGTATGTATATGTTCCTCCCACATCCACTCAAAGATTAGTTAGTCTTCATTTTGGCATATCAAGTTTAAAGCTAAACCAAATTTGTTTATACATGTAGAAGTCTAATCATAGAATCAAAGAATCACTGAGTCGGAAGGGACCTAGACAGAACATTGAGTCCGACCCCTGCCATGGGCAGGAAGGAGCACTGGGGGTGGCAGGGGTCATAAGACCCCAGCCAGGTGCCTATCCAGTCTCCTCTTGAAGATTTCCAGGGAAGGCAAGAGGACCACCTCTCTGGGAAGCCTATTCCAGGCTCTGGCCACCCTTACAGTGAAGTAGTTCTTCCTAAGATCTAACCTAAACCTATCCTCCCTCAGCTTGTGGCCATTGTTCCTAGTGACTCCAAGGGGGGCCCTGGTGAACAGACTTTCCCTGAGTCCCTGCTGGTGGCCCCTGATAAGGCAGCCACAAGATCCCCCCTCAGTCTCCTCTTGCAGAGACTGAAGAGATTCAGGTCCCTCAGTCTCTTCTCATATGACTGGCCATGGAGGCCCCCAACCATACAAGTGACCCTCCTCTGGACCCTCTCCAGGTTCTCCACGTCCCTCTTGAAGTGCGGCGCCCAGAACCGGACACAGTACTCCAGCTGCGGCCTGACCAGCGCCGCATAGAGGGGAAGCAAGACCTCTATGGACCTGTTAGAGATGCCCCCGTTGATGCATGACAGGGTGCGGCTGGCTCTGCCTATTGCTTCGTCGCATTGGCGACTCATATTCATCCTGGAGTCAATCATGACTCCAAGATCCCTCTCTGCCGCCGAGAGGGTCAGCCCCTAACCTATAACCATAATGCTGGTTTCCTCTCCCCAGGTGCAGCACCCTGCACTTGTCCTTGTTGAACCGCATCCTGTTCAGATCCACCCACGTCTCTAACCTATCCAGGTCTGCCTGGATGCAGTAAAGACCTGGACGACATTGACTCAGGACATTGTCAGGAGCAGGATATGACCCCATGCCTCCATCAGAGCCGAAAACACTCACAACCTGAGTCTAGTACCTTAGACCACTCAGTCATCCTTGCTAGGAGAAGGGGCTCATCAGGAATTTGAACCCGGGACCTCTTGCACCCAACGCAAGAATCATACCCCTAGACCAATGAGCCTCACAAATGCTCGTTTAACCAAACGCTAAATTAAAATCTAATAACTTGCATTAAAAGTGTCCTTTTTTCTAATCCTGATTTTCAGAAGAAAAATGCCAATTTTTCTAATAATTGGTATTTTTCTTGAAGCCCTTCCGAAGCAATTGGGATTTTATTTAAAATTGACTATGAGTATGAGAAAAGGTTCAAACTTGAAATAAAAAAATATTATTTTGAGGTTTGACTCATCAATTTTAAATATTTCAGGTTGTTAGTAATATCAGACCAGGGAAAATGGATTCAAATTTCTAAGCCAATTTACATGCTGTGTTTACCTTGAGCAAGCCAATCAACTATTCCTCAGTTTATGTATTTGTCAGATATTATTTCCTAGTCTTCTTTATAGTCTCTAGAAAAACCTCAAAAGAAACCATTTACTTTACTGAAAGTTTTACTATATCTAGATAAATTAATAACTAATTATGACATACAAAAAACTAGAACTCTTGGTTCCAAAATGATACCTTTTATTAAACCAACTGGGAAATTGCAAGAAAACTGTCCTTTTCTGCAAGCTTTCGGGATCAAAGTCCCTTCTATAACTAATTAGCCCATAAGTAATTATGAGCATTCTAACAAGTCATGTACTCCTAATTTACTGTAGTGACTTAATACTACATTATTTCTGGGGTTGGTGGCTTTTTGAGATTTGCAAATTCCCTTCAGGAACTGAAACTGAATACTCTGACATTATGTATTTAATGTTACAAAATATTTGTACATGGAAAAAAATTATGGCATTTCAATAACCATTGTAAAAACTTATCAAGGCAGAAAAAAATACCTATTTGGACTATACATTTGGTAAAATCTTATTAAGTTGTCCAGTATGGTTCAGAAGGATATATTTAATGGAATTGCAAATAAAGAATAAACCACTAGATGGCAAGCTTTAATGGTAATTAATTGTTATTACTTTTGGACTTACAGTACGATAATTTGGTGTGAATGCTGGAATTGACTGAAAAAAGAAATATAAATTAATATTATGAAAGAAAATTCCAACACTATCCTTTCTACACAGTTCAATGAGGGGAACATTTGGGATTAATAATTACACTTAGTATTAAACCCAACAACAAAATAAAGGCTTTAATTTGTTTGCTTTTGAACAAAGGGCCTATTAGTTTTAACTCCGTTTCTTCAGTTTATCTTCAGTCACTTCATCTTGCTGTCACATTCCAGTTTTATTAAAAACTACAATAAATAAAACTGAAAAATATTCAAATCATGAGGAACAACATTATGTAAAAAACGTAGTTCCACTGGTCAATAAGTTAGTCTAGGTAAATTAAAGATACTGCTTCAACCAAACACAACACACAAATTGAAATTAAAATTAGGGATATAAAAAGTTAAACAATCATTATACTTAAACTGTTTAACATTTATCATTTACCTCCCAGCTCAGCGCTACCCACTCTTGGGGGAATGGCTGGGGGCCAACACAAATTTGGGCGGCAGCATCGCATGGCACTGTGGCAGGGAGGTAACTAGCAGTTACCTGGGGTAGTGGAGCCAGGAAATTGTGTGTGGCGGAACTCAAAAGGGTTAAATAGGAGCTGGAGCAGCAGTGGGGCTGCCATCAAGGCCCCCCCCCCAGGGGCTCCCGCTTGCTGGGACACCTGCACCATGCCATCTCCAGGAGTTGCCTGCAGTCTGCAGGCACCTGGAGCTCTGAATGGCACCTGCCTGCACCTTGGGGTCTGGCAGCTACCGCTCAGCAAGGACCCGAGGTGGCTCTCCAAACGTAGGGGCATGTGGCAGACAGAACTGCCATGCAGAATCATGCCCGAGGTATCCACCTGTAGGCTGAGTGCCCTTTGCTAGGTGCTGTGGCATCAGGGAAAGCCCTCAGCAGAGCGGGATTAGTGCAGTACTAGCCCAGCTGCTGGCTGCATCTGGAAGGGAAAGGGAGCAGTGCAGTTCCTTTTCTGTTCAATGCAGCCAGCAGCTGGGCCAGCACCATGCTCCTCCCACTTGGGTGAGGGCTTGCCGAAGTGCCACGGCTCCTAGTGAAGGGCAATCAGCTTACAGGTGGATCCACCTTGCGCGTGATCCTGCATGGCACTTCTGTCCACCACATGCCCCCAAGCTGGGAAAGCCACCTCAGGTCCTTGCTGAGCAGCAGCTGCCAGAGCCTAAGGCACAAGCAAGTGGGAAGGAGGCACCGCCCAGCAATCCAGGTGCTATCTTGGGCATGATCCTGTGTGGCATGTACATCTGCCACGTGCCCCTGAGCTGAGAGTCACTATGGGTTCTTACCAAGCAGCAGCTACTGGAGCCCAGAGTGGGGATGGGCAGGTGGGAGGGAGGCACCACCCAGGACTCCAACCACAGGCTGGAGGCACTGCCTGGGCACAGCACAGCATAGCTGCTCTGGCAGGCAGGAGTTCTTGTGGGTGCTAGGGCAAAAGGGCAGCCCACTCCTGTAGCACCCAACAACAGCCCCACCACTGCACTCACTGCTGTTTAAGCACTGCCGGCTCTGCCATACAACTGCCCAGCTCCACTCCCCCAGGTAATTGCTAGTTATCTCCCTGCCATAACAGCCACGCGATGCTGTAGCCCAGATCCATGGCACCTCCTGGGTGGCCCCTGTTTGAGCTAATCCCCCAAAGTAAAAAATTAATTAACAGACTGTGTCAATTATGGATTGGTCACTGATTTGCTACATAACTTCATGAAGTCAACTGACTTCTTCTCAGGTTCTTCACCTTTAAAATAAGGTAACATTTAGCAATGGAAAGCAGGAATGCTACCAGGATTAATAAGCATGTACAGTGCTTGGAATGTGTCCATGTACTAGATAAGTATCCAGTACCATGTAGTATACAACTGTTAAAGATATGATGGAACTTGATCCATGATCCCAAAAACTGCACCTCCTGTTCTGCTTCACATGCCTGGCAAGAGGCTTGATTGTAGGAGTGAGAATCAGATCATCCCCTATTGCCAGTGCACAGAGAGCCCAAGATCATGTTCCCAGGCTCTCCCTGCACCAACAAGTAGCAAACTGGATGCCTGGGGCTTGCTAACTGGCACTCTCAGCCTTGGGGGAGCACTGAAGTCAAGGACTCCAATGTACTTCCAGGACTGGTAGTGCCAATCATCAGACTAGCATTCACAGCTTCAAGATCCAGCATTGCCAACCCAGTTTTGTTTTTGGTTTTTTTACTGACAAATCTGCAAGCTTTTGACTGACACCAAACTTTCTTATTGACATTTTTTTTTACTGATATATGTTTTATATAATGTAAATGTAATTCTTCTGCCATGACCCAGTTGAAGATCTGGGTTCAAATTTAGAAGTTTAATGTCCACCATAGTAAAAAAGTAAAAAAGTTTAGTAACAAACTATAAAGTTAAAAAATGTCCTGGGTTGGCAAGAAACTACTTGACTGCAGTGTGCTGCTCCCTCCCCTATTCCAGGGCCTCCTACTTACCTACCATCCTAATGTCCCCAAACTGCCCCCTTGTGCCCCCCCAGATGGCCCCTCAGCCTTATCCCTGCCAGTCCCACTTTCCCCATCCCAGCACAAACCCTCAAAGAAGCCCACAATGACCAACAGTATTACAAACTGCCTGATATGCAAGACACTGCTGAGACAATGCTCTTAGCAAGTTGATGGGCTCCTGCTCCAACACCAGATGGTGCTACTGTGCTCTGTCTGTCAATGCTACAATCAAGATGCTTAAAAAATGCTACAAATGCTTACTGTTTTTAATGACATTAGGGGGAGATCATGTCAGACCAACCTGATTGCCTTCTACGATCAGGTCACAAAGGCCATGGATGCAGGTGTCACGGTGGATGTAGTCTTTCTGGACTTCAGCAAGGCCTTTGACACCGTCTCTCACCCCATCCTAGTTAAAAAACTAGGCGACTGTGGCATAGATGCCTACACAGTCAGATGGATTGCAGATTGGCTGAGGGGTCGCACTCAGAGGGTGGTGGTGGATGGGTCATA